AAAATGATTAATGGTAGGGTAACTTGTTGGGGTTAATCCCATGAAAATCTCAAGAGTGTTAAATATATGGATTATAAGAGAGACTTTACACCTACTTAACAATCGCATAGTTAATTGCATCAAATGCATAATTGCATAATAATTTTGATCACTTTGACCTTTATGTCTCATTCCCTATAGTTATAATTTTTATGAAAATTGGTCTAGTTGGAGAAGTACCTGAGGTGTAGTTCTGGTGTGTGGAACACCACTTGTTTTGTAAGCCTTTATATTGTTTTATGCATATCTTGCCAACTTTAAGGCATTTATTTTGTATTGTAAGCATGAACTCCCTATTTGGATGAGACATGTATTTGATTGCAATGAATTAGTTTTTGTGACATTCATTTCCTTTCTTAGTAAGTTCAAATTATTAATCAAGTGTTTGAGGTAGAAAAGTATTTTATGACTACATATGTTGTTTTATTTTTAAATTAACTGTGTTAGATGGCTATAATCCAACTTTGAAAGTCTTGAATGTATGTGTTAATGTGTTTGGGATGTGGTCAAGTATCCTACACTTTAGCTCTTAGCTTTGGTTTTAGTTCATAAGGTGTAACGTTATTTAGAAGTGTGTTTTGTCTTTAGATGGAACTTTATGGATAAAATTCTCACTTAGAGTGCTTTTTATACCAAACTAAAGCCATTATGTAGATTATTTAATAAGTTTCATGTAGATACTTGAATTACTTAAATTAGATATCTGTATAAAAAGTTATATTCATCCAAATTTTGAAAATACTATTCATATTGTCATCTATTTGATATAGTATTGTGAGTTGCAATGCATGCCTCGTTACTCGTGGCATATGGCATAGAGAAGGGAATATCTTTTCTATGTCATATGCCATAAAGTATGATACACATGTCACGGCGCATGACACGGCTTGGACATATTTCCTTCCCTTTATTTTCTAAATTTTGAAATGGTCTCTTTTGATCTTTTGATCCTTTTTTAATTTATTTTTGGACAATTTGGCCCTTAAGAACCATGTTTCATTTATGTTTACAATTTTTAACAAAATTAGTGGATTTCCACACTTGTTTTCAATAGAATCTCATTAGCTATACTTTATATGATTAAGTTTTCCATTAGTTTTTATTTGTTTAATTTATTTAATTTTTAAATTATCATGGTATGTCTATCTACTATGTTTAATATTTTTTTTACCATTATAGTCCTATTTATGAAATGCAATGTTTTCAGAACCAAATTGGATATTAAACCAAAAATGCCAGCTATTCATGGTTCGTATGGTCCAACCGGTTTAGACCAATGGTTAAATTGGTGATGTAATAATTAAATAAAAATAATATTAAAGTATATATAAAATAAATACAAGAAAAAATCTATAATATGTTAATAAAATGAGATAATACAATTATAAATTAACAATATTATAAATTATCATTTTATTACTTGACAAATATAGGTGAGTCTTGGTTAAATTAGATATAAATAGACTCAAAAGTATCTATATTTGCATTTATAATTGTCCACATTTTTATAAAAAAATGACCTCAAATCATATTTTATATACTTGAATTGTCAAATAATAAAGTTGGCCTTTAATAGGATCTAATTTTTGAATTTTTTTTATTTTTTAATATTTTGTTTAAAATTCTAAAAACTATTCCAGTTCTTGGTTCAACTCTAGTTTTTGACTCAATAGTGGCTCAACTTTGGTACAATTTGACTTAATTATGAAAATAGTTTTTTAGTCTAAATTGAGTCGTTAATAGCTCCGGTCGATAGTATGACTAGTTCGACCGTTTAGTTCTTAAGCCATTGGTGAAATGTTTTAATTGTAAGAAAAGTTCTATTTACCATGTTAAGCATTCATTAAGTGATTTTGGCTCTTAATTATCATGATCATCTCCTTTCTACCATGGTAAGGTTTTAAATTATTATCTAAAATATTTTATATCATGGTAAACCTTTATTTACTACGGTAGATTTTATAAAAATGAATTTTACTCTTTATTATTATGGTAGATACTTTTCTATCATGATAAATGTTTAATGGTTAATGTTGAACTACTTAAATATATTTTTGTGAAAAATTGAAGAAATTTTTAGGGTGTTACATATATGATGTCACTTAATTTACCAAAAATGTGCAAGTGCAAGTAAAATTTAAAACCAAAAAAACATGCCAATAGTTTGTTGTTCTAGTGGCAATGCCACCTCCATCATTAGGAAGAGGTTCTTAGTTCAAGTTCAATGTTGCATGTTTGTGTGGGTGCATGTGTCTCCTTTTTCTATAAAAAAAAATTAGGGAGAATTTCATTTAAGGATCAGAGAAGCATCATATCCTTAGGTGGCTTTCAAAAAATTTCAAAATATTAGTTTAGTCTTATGGGACTAATTGAAAATAAGTTAAAAGTAAAACAAATTAAAATACCCTCAGTTTAAATATTAAAAAAAACCACCAACCACCATCGCTGGTGATTGAAGCTTCGCTAGCGATAGCAGCCCTTGGACCTCTATCGCTAGAGTTTCGACCACCGGTTGGACCACCGTCACTGGAGCTTTAGCTGTCGGCTAGACCACTGTCAGTCGTGGTTGGAGAATTATGAAGAATTAATTTTTCCCAAGGTAGGTGTAGAACCCAAGATCTCTTGGTTCACCAAAAGGTTTTAGACCATGAAGCAACTCAACTTATTCAATCATATAATGCATAAAATTATATATATAATAAACCTTGTTTTCAAACTACTTAATTATTACATTACTTGTTAATTGCGTAACTTTATTTGTTAATAACTTAACAGGACTTGTTAATTATTTAACTTTTCTTGTTTACCCCATGACTCTTGTAACAGAAATAAATTACTTGCTAATCAGGTAACTATACTTGTTAATACTTTAACAAGACTTGTCAATTAAAAAAGACTACTTAAGTTCATTTTGTTTTCTTCTTATTAAACAAAAAATAATTATATCGCTCTTTTTTCTAAATAGATTGCTGCAAATACTAATGAGCAAAGCCCTTGATTAACAAGACTTAACATGTAACTTAGCCTAGGCGATGATTATTTAATTCAAGTATTAGAATCGTATCTATGATTTGAGGTTTTCTCCAATTTAACATTGAAAGTGACTAAATGCTTTCTACTTTTTGACTTTTGCATTTTGCCAAGCTGGCCTCAATCTTTTCTCCTGTTTTCAGCATCATCTAACAAACTATTTTCCCTTCTTTTACTTTTTTTTTTTAAATATAGTTAAGCCCCCAATGAAGATGTAAAGCTGGAAAACATTTGGATAGGAAGGAACTTTTATGTGTATTAAATTTATGAACATCTGAAAATCATAATGTCATATATCCAAGGATATTATACCTTCAAAATAATTCATTAATTACGAAATATAAAATATTATCTTCTTTGATCATTTTTAAAATATTAACTTAAACATCCCATAATTGTATCATAATTTTGAAAAAAAAAAAAGCATGTTCTCTAGTTCATTGGATCATCACATGAAGTAATTTTGTGGTTTAAATTAAACTAACGAAGCTTGAACAATTTGGAGCTAGGATAGAATCTATAATAATATGAATATTAGTTATTGAAATTTATTAAGCAAAAACAAAAATATATTTTATTAAGCGTGAGTTTTATTATTTAAATTTAAAATTGTAACATTTATTTTGACAAAAAATAAGAAGTAATGGCTGTCGTGTTCAAGTGAAATAGAAGTGATTTTGTGTGTTTTAAGCTTTTTATTATACTGTCGGTAAAAAGAGTTTTTTTTCTTATTATATTCCTATCATTTTTTCGGTCCGAGTCAACCATAGAGCAAGCTGCCAATTTACTGTGACAACCAAATGATGAGCCACCACTTTTTGATCTACAGTTTTTTTTTTGTCTTTTTCTCGGATTAGGTGAATTAAGTATTGCTAAATTCAAAAGGTATTAGGTAATTTGATTATTCATTTGGAATGCCTTCCATTTGCAAGTAGCATGACGTGCATAATTTTCAGCAATGCACATAATTTAAAATAAGAGAGGTAAATTTACAATACAACAACAACAAGCCTTTATCCCACTAGGTGGGGTCGGCTACATGGATTGCAAGACGCCATTGTGCTCTATCATTTATTAAGCTTTTAGAAATATTATTAATTAAGAGATCACGTTCAACAACTTCCAAGAGTGTTCTCTTAGGCCTTCCTCTACCTCTCTTAATCGGACTCAAAGTTATATGTTCCACTCTTCTCACTGGTGCCTCCCTTGGTCTTCTTTGTACATGCCCAAACCATCTCAACCGATTTTCTACCATTTTTTCCTCAATAGGTGCCACCCTCACTTTTTCACGTATGTGCTCATTTCGAATTTTATCTTTACGTGTATGTCCGCACATCCATCGTAACATTCTCATCTCTGCTACTCCAACTTTATGCTCTTGCTGTCCCGTTAGAGCCCAGCATTCACTACTATATAACATTGCCGGTCTGATAGCAGTACGATAAAACTAGAGAGGTAAATTTACAATGTCTGTTGTAAATAGTAATAAAGACGGAAGAAGAGAAGAGAAAAATCTAGAAGAAAATAAAAGAAAGAGAGAAGAGAGAGTTTTCTTAATATTTTATATATATATACTGATTTTATTATAGGAATAAATCAAACTTGATATTCATATCTTATTTAATATATATATATATATATATATAAAAACAAATCCTCGCCAAATCTAACTACACGTAAAATGAATTTTATATAAAACAAGATCAATTAATGATTTATTAAGTTCTGTTGGCCAAAAAAAAATTATTAAGTTCTGTATGTTTTGAAAAAATAAAAATATTAATCATGAAATGTTTAATGACATTAATTATTTTATTTAAGAATGTAAAAATATTTTGGTCTATAAAAATTTCGTTGTTTTATTTGATTATATTCACCCACGTTTTTTAAATGATTTAACATTAAAAAAAAAATAGCGCACACTGGCCAACCGCTAACCGGCCTAAACTAGAGCACTTGTGTACTCCACGTCTTCGCGGAGAAATGGGAATGGATTCCAAAGCAGAAGCAGCGGAGCAGAGCTCCACCATCAGCGTCCCTGTTCTACCCGTAATTCTCTCCTCCTCCTCGTCCGTCTCAACACCGCCGTCTCCGGATCCCTCCGGCACCCTCACTCCTCCCCTCCACTCCGCGGCTGCCGCCGTTCCCTTCCGATGGGAACAAGAGCCTGGAAAGCCCAAACACACCACCGCCATCGTCCCCTTCTCCATCTCTTCCCTCACCATCACCGACTCGTCCCCAAAATCCTTAGAACTCCCTCCCAGGCTCCTCGCTGTAGAGAATCCTCCTCACGGATTAGGTAGCAGCAGCAGATTTCGCTCTCCCTCTTTGAGAATGGGCTCCGATTGTTACGGTTCTTTCCGCGCTGAAGGAAGCTGGGCTGTGATTCGGAGCGGACGGCAAATCGGGTTCGGGGCGGGAGAGAAACGGCGGTGGTTTGGTTCTTGGAGGATGAAGAAGAGAGAGGTGAATGGTGGTAGTCACGTGTTCCCATCTTGTGGCGCTGATCATCGAAAGACTAGTGACGTTGTTGCCATTGGAGGCACTCGGAAGAACAGAGTGAAGATGAAAGGCACGGGTCTCTGGGTAACGATGATCATTTAATCTAATTTGACAAGATTTAAATCTTAAGATTGATTTCGTCTTATTTATAGCATATAGTGATATTTTGTCCAACAAGTGCTATGTATATAATAGTAAGTGAATGATGCAGGCATCAATATGGGAGGGGTTGAGGCAGATGGGAGTGTGGAGGAGTCAGAGCAAGACACTGAAGAAAGATGAATATGCATCGAGCCTCTAATTACCAATTTTCATGAGGCCGCGCTGCCTACTTCACCGTAAATTTGTGGTTTTATTTGATTTTCTTTATTACCTGAGTGAGTGTATGTGTGTTGTTCTTCTAGAATCAGTCTATGGCTGCTTAAATACGTGAAACTCTACATCCGCTATCCAGATTGTTATTTCACGGCCTAGCCTATTACAAAGTTATCTTTTCTGTATAAATTTTCTCCGAAAAATTACAAGTTATCTTTAAGAAAACGTTTTTTTTTTCATTTTAAAAAATGCCATGTTTCCCATTTTCATCCGCACGAGTGGAGCTGATTTAACGACCACTTGAAACCAGCCACGATGCGCAAAAACTAATGATTGAGCTTGTCTAAATATATGGTCGTATGATTTCCTTATAAATGCAAATATTTTATTTGATCTAGATCTTTATCGTTACATATATTATATATAGATGATATAAATAACAATTACGCATGAAGACCTTTTTTTTTTTTGGCCCAGAAATTATGCATGAAGACTGAAAGAAATATAAGTATATTGAATAATGTTAAAAATATAATCATACAAAAATTAAGAATATGCGAGTCATGATTTACTGTTTCAATTCCTCAACATCCTAATGTCCAAATTAATGTTTTTTAAATAGGCAAAGAATATATATCGGCAACATAGACTAAACTGCTAAAGAATAGAAGGTAAGCTTTGAGTTTTAATTTTAATAATTAACTTTTCCACTACACAGAGGTTGAGGATTAGCAACCAATTGCTTAAGAAGCAAGAACCTACAATTCACATAAACTTAAATCTGTAAATGGTGTAAAATTTTATTAAAGAGAAATGTAGGAACAAAATTCAGCAACACAGACCATTTGGCAAGAATATCCAAAATGTGTTTTCTATATCAATTCACCAAACATGTTCTTAGATGGGTCGAGATAGCAAGCAATTGAAGCCGTTGGTGATTTTCAGTTAGAACATCCAAAAGAATTTTTGAAGTAGAATTTGGATCCAAATGTTTGGTTTTCAATTTCTTCCAAGAAGTCCAATTTAAAACATGGTTGAATATGGTTTTGACCAACTCAATTTGTTTTTTTACTTTTAAAACTTACATTCTAAAAGCACACATATTTATTCAAACTAACAAAAAATTTATCTAAACACAAATATTATTACAATAACAAATTTATATCATATTAACTTTTACCAAATAGCCTTTAACAAATTAATTTTTGAAAAACTGAGAACCAAACACATTCTCATAAACATGATTCTTTTTCAAAACAAAATCATGTTCAAACTATAAGATGAAAACTCAGCCAAAAGTCAATTACCAAAACAAGAATATATCTATCAATCCTGTAAGTTAAATCTATCAATGATAAAGAGATCCTACATCTAAAAATTAAAAGATATGTCATGAATATATAAAACTTCAGGTGTCTAACCAAATGATTTAATCTATATTTTGGTGATGTAGACTATCTTCAAATATACTTATCCAAAGAATTTAACAAGATATCAATAGCCATTAGATTAAGGACAAAAAATTGAACAAGAAAAATGAAACACCAAAAAACAAGAGTTTGAAAAAGAGAGTAGAAGAAGAAGAAAAATTGAACAGACTAAGATTTTTGAAATTAAAAAAAAAAAAAGTGCAAGCCCAGGTGAGAAGAATAAGGAAGTAAAAGGAAAAAAAAAGTAGTAGAGGGGATGTTAAAGATAAAACAAGTCTCACAACTATGTTGGTTAAGTAAACTATTCTTAAGCATATTTAGCCAAAGAATTTGACAGAATCCCCTAAAAGCCACTCCATAAGGAATTCCGCGTAAAAAAATCCCTCGAGTTGACATGATGGAATTGGTTAGAAACTCAGAAACCGTGCTTGCTAATAAGACGCAATATTATTGAGGCAAATAAACTGATCGATATTCAATTCATCCCCTAAACTAAAACAAGAGATAGGGAAATCGCTGAAAATGCTTGTAAGGACAGGAATATGTTCACAATGGAATGCTGCCAATTCATATATAACATAATTGTCTTATTTTCTCCATCCCACTCTGTGAAAATTGAGCTCAAACGGGAAAGTAGTTAGAAAACCTGCCCTTGAGTGGATCACCCTTGCCTTTTACCAGTCATACCTGCGACCACCTGCGAGATGCAAGGCATCAATATCAAAAAACCGAGATGCAAGGCATCAATATTAGAAAACCTTTAGATGAGATGGAAGAAAAAGCAATTGTTGATTCATGGTCATGGTTGGTTGGCATCTATTGGTGGCATCAGTGACACTGTAGTGCTCTGCCTCAACCGGTAAAGACAGGGAAAATGGAACTTGGAGGTGATCCTAAAATGACAGACTGCAATGTTCCTATTGATAGCTCTAGTTACATGTTGAGCAGGGAATGGTATAGACATTAACAATAGAGTCAAGAAATATTGTATTTCAGTGAAATAACCAGGCACGTTTACCATGTAATCAGACAACAGAATCTGGCATCAATAGAACGGTTTTGACAGGGTAAAAGATTTTACAGGTTAGTGCAAGTATATCACTCACATCACTTAAAGCGGGTTGAGGGGGTTGCTTGGAAGCTTGATAGGAATCCAGTATGGGCCTCACAACAGCTGGAAGGAATAGACCTGACAATTTTGAACGGCATAGCAAGTTAATGAATTGCCAATAGAGAATGAATAATTTCATAAAATGAGAATAGCAAATTACATCTAATTATCAGTGCTAATGGAGAATATTTCAAGCATATCATGAGAAGAAAATAAGTAATCAGGTAAACATCCCGCTAGCTTGGATTTCTGTCTTACTCAGGCGGAGTGACCAGTGAGAATCATGAACTTGGAATGAATTCAAATCTCTTTTTATTTCTCCCCTATCATTAACAATTAATTCCACATATAAACTGAATTAATCTGAACAATCATGTAGCTATCTCAAACTAAAGCATAGAAGACTTGCAATGAATCACAGGCCAGAAGAACAAAGAACTACTTTCATCCACTGCGAACTGATCTTAACAAAGCTAAATTGGGGATCACTTGAGCCTGGTTCTAATACTGAACCTTTCTCTGATGCAGATTATGAGCCACTAGCAATCACGTTTCCAAAAATGCACTTATTACTGCAATGCTCATAACCTAGCATTTATTTTTCTTTTTGATGTCATTGTGTATCGAATAAGATACTAAGGTGTCATAAGTCCACCCTTGGTTATATAAAATTTAGCACCCCTCATACATGCATGCCAGACAGATAAGAGCCCTTCTTGTGGCATTATTTTCAATGAAAAAATTTACAAACATTTAAGAGAAACATTCGATGTAACTAATAAAGGCCACTGGAATGTCAAATTTATGTTTCGGTGTAGATTATTAGATGGTAACTAAAAACTCGTAAAGAACAAAGAGACAGAGGTACATTTCAGAATGACGAGGTAAACGACATTCCGATAATCCATCGTCACCAAACTACCATAGGCATTTAATTCTTGAAGCGTAGATGTTTTATTAAGGCACAATTCAACAACATAGACAACTAGTTTCATGACCCAGCATGAGGCAGCATGAAAAATTTAAGCGAACAACGACTAGTTGGGAAATGGGCATCTAAAAGAAAGGCGGTTTTAAATATAGACAATTAAGCGTTGAACGAGGCAGATGTTTCAATCGGAGAACCGTCTCAACTCAGATAGTCCAAATTCCTTTTATGAATCATGTTTCTTTTTAAGTAACCTTCTCGTTGCTCAACCAAGATTCAATTAATAAATCTAATGGGTAAGATTCAATATTCCTAATCTCACAAGCCATTGTCCAGGAAACGTTGAACATCAAACTCCCACCTTTTGAAATCACTCAGCTCCAGACCGGCGAGGATTGGAATTTTAGAGAGGAATAGGATTTAAGGATTAGGGTTTTCAGTGAGATACAGAGAGGCATACCAAAGCCAGCAATGAGACAGGAAGCTGCGACCACTGGTTCCTGAACGACGAACATCTTCAATCTCTCCATGACAGCCATTTTTGCCTCCTGTACCTCTCTTCCTTGGAGACGATGGAGTTCTCTGTCACCCCGCTATTTTCTCTCGAGGAGTCGAGCCTTGCTATGTTCTGTGCTTTCTTTTTCTTTTTTAATCCAAGCCATACCATAGTGTTACCGTAACTCAAATTGGATCTTATGTCTTGTGCTGAGCCCGGGGAAAAGAAAAAAAACAAAAAAAAGGAAAATGATCATAAAATTTTATCAAAATATATAAATAACAATCGATCTTATAAATATTATAATTCTTTTGAGGTTTTTATATACTTTTTTAATATTAATAATTAATAATTAAATTATTTTTTATTTAAAATAAAAAATAATAATTATGTAAAAAATTGTAATTTTTTATTTAATTCTTACTATTAACAGAATAAAAGTTGTAATTTCTTAAATAAAAGTTATAACTAGTTATTTTTAAAATTGGGACTTCAATGATAAAAGAAATTTTATGTGAGATGTTGTGATTTCTTATTCAATTCTTGCTATTTACAAAATAAAAGTTACTAATTATTTTGAAAACTTGAATTTTAATGATAAAAAAAATCATGTGACAAGTTGTAATTTTTTATTTAATTTTTATAATTCATCGAATTAAATTTGTGATTGCTTAAACAAAATTTATGATTGGGACTAGTTATTTTCAGAACTTATTTATCAATATAAAAGAAATTTTACGTGAGAAGTTGTAATTTTTTATTTAATTTTTGTGATTCACATAATAAAAATTATAATTTGAAAAATGGAGCCAGACAAACACATTATTTACACATTTATTAGCTTAAAAAGACCATTTTACACGCCTATTAAGTGTTCATATGCATTCAAATCACATTCTCAGTGCAAATTTGCCTCAATATTGAATTACATGCATTAAAGGTATTTTGATCATAAAATGTACTTTTCACCAGAATGAGGTTAAACTTAAGAATTATGTCTTTTGATGGGCTAAAATGATTAGTCAAATTAATTTTTATTGATTCATCCTATGTTGAAAGTTATTAAAGAAAGACAACATTTTAAAGTTGTTTCCCTAAGGGTTTTCTTTCCCTTTGATTTTTGTTCAAGTGTGTGCTTGTTTATACTTGTGTCTTGTAAAACTTTTATATTCATTTTCCTTAATTATTTTATTATTTGGATGAATTAAA